TCAAAATTGGAAGGTCATCTATAAATATATATACTCTTTATTTTTTCATTAGTCAAAATTGAAACTATTTTGGTGAAGATAGAGAGTTTAAAATTAAATGGTGAAAGTTATCTACTGATTCTACTCCATAAAATTATTTCAAGAAATTAAATTAAACAAATTTTTCATTTTTTATTGGATAATTAAAAAAATAAAAGAACTTGTACCTTTTTTTAAGACATGTGCCCAGAGTGGTACGGAATATTTTTTTAATGCATTATTTGTAAAAAGAAAAGTCGAAATCCATAATAAAAAAAAGTCTGATACAAAATCAGAATGAGAAAAATGTTAGATTCACTAACTAAAACATCACAAATTAATAAACTTGTTATTTTTGGATCAAACCAAAAGAAAATTATTATGGTGTCATATAGTTAAAAAGTTAAAATGTTCAATATAAAAAATATTCTCTATGTCTCAAAATATTTTACGTCAACATTTTATAATACAAGATGTGACAAAAATATTTTATTTTATTAAATAATCAATTAAAACGCAAAAACAATTAAAAAAAATTCGTGACTTTTGAGTGATAATTTTTTTAACGGCTGGAGTATATAAATTTTATGATCTTTTTATTTCCGATTGTTCTATTTTTCATAAAAATTAAACTTAATCATAGACAAAACAAATCATGTCATATCATAAATTATAATTAGACATTTGGACATGTGAGTACCAAAACGTAAAATAACAATGTACTCCATAGTCAATAATAACGTACGGTTTACTCCATCCGTCCTATAATAGCACTATTCCAACGTCACGGGAATTTATGTTTATTTGTATTTTTTCATGACCTATATGATAAAATAAAATATTCTTGTCACCACTTGTTTTGTTGAACTTTTGGTGTAGTTTTTAAATATGTATGTTTTATTTTTTATTTCTATACCAATATTTAAATAAAATAGATTAAAAAAACTTGGGATTTTTCTTCGTTTTGCGAACCGGGAAGATCATTATAGGACGGAGGGAGTATGTATCTACTCCGAACATGTAGCCCAAATTCCAAATACTAAAAACCAATATTACCTCTATTCCACTACAAAGTATTTGTGGACTAAAATGCTGACAAAAGGCCACATTTGTAGCATATGTTTGTAGTAGACGAGAGTGTGATTCACAAACGACACATCAAGAGCGGCTTCTAGAGTTATGTATGACAAAAAAGATACTCCGTATATGATTATAGTCAAATTAAACTTTTAGCCTTCAAATTAAAACCAACATGATTGAAAATAAAAAAAAGAACTATTTTAGAAAGGTCCAATAAAAGGACTAAAAGCGTATTATTTAATGATAAAGAACTAAATAAGAAAAACCGTCTGTTATAAAAGGAATAACTAAATAACTTATTCAAAATAAAACACAAAGAATTGCAATGTGTTTTAACACATTCAAAAGATATGTATCAAAGATACATGAAATACACGGAGATAAATTTTTTTAAAAACTTATCTGTGGTAGGGTTCGGGTCGGCTGGTCAAATATAATGACCAAAACCCATCCCAACAAAGGTCGGGTGCAATTTAAAATTTTCAAGTCAGGTTCGAATATTTAAGTTTTCGATCGATTCAGATGCTATAATCTCCCGTCAGATTGGTAGAAGTCAAATTCAGGTAGAATTGTTCGGTGAAAATTGAAGTGAATGTGAAACATTCACTCATCAATGTTCATTTCGTGGATGAGTAATGCACAAACTGTACCAAAGTCACCACTTTTCTCAAGCTGCTATATAGATTTCTTTTTTTGAGAAGATAAAGAAATTACAAATTTAATTTTTAGACAATTCAAAAAAAAACAATATTAAGGTGAATAAATGAGCAACAAGGGAAGTCTCAGTCAGTGCACGCCCACACCCAAAATCCAGCTAATGTGACTTTAATTACACTACTTAATTAGTGCAGTGCATGTGTGGGTGTGTGTGTGTGATTCAAGACATTTTGACATTAACATTTCAAATGCATTTATATAAAAGATGAATATTGTATTTCTTCCACCATAAATGACATGAGCTTTTACTTGCTGTCATTGATTTTTTCAATTTGTTTTTTAAATATTAATTTTATCAAAATAAAACTAAAATATGAAACTTAAATCGACTTGATGAGATTATCATCTTTATGAGATAATCGTCTTTATGTGTAACAACTTGTGATTGATCAGCGTTTACGTTTGAAGTTTGAACATAATACTCTCTCTATCACGGAATACTCACTTGCTAGAGTCACAAACATAACATTTATAAAATTCACAAACTTATCATTTGTGTAAAGTAATGGATTGGAATAGTGGTCTCAACTAATTAAAAAATAAAAGCTAAAATACACAAATGGTAATTTGTGCGTTTTGTGAGTGTTTTGTTTGTGATTCTAGCATTACCCATTAAATGAACATTTCTATAAAAACTTTTAACTGAAATCTTATTAGGAGACAAATAAAAATAAATTTGTAGTTTTTTAGATGGAGAGATGGTAACGATAGTATTTAGTTTTAATAAGCTCTGATTTTTAGTTAGCTTGCACTCGATCTCCCTGTCTCAAAACAATCTTTTCATTTTTGTTTATGATATTTGATCAAAATTATTTAAATATTTATATATATAAGTATATATAAAATATAAAGTATATATTAAAAATTACATAATAAATTTAATAACGAATGATGACTACCTAACAATTTTCTTTTATTAAATAATGAATAAAATGCATAAAGGAAAACATATAATTTGATTTTGAAACAATAAATGAGAAGATAATCTTTCAAAAAATAAATAAAAATAAATGAAAAGATAAAAAAATGGACAGGTTGAATATATATAATATAGAGTATTAAGACACTACATATTTGAGGTTATAATGGTTTGCTTGTCAATAGATTATAGTAATGTCAATTACAAAGGTTGTTATCAAATAATCCTTTGAGGATGGACAAATATATGCAACAAAAAAATAGTGTACCCCTATAATTAAGATTAGTAAAGCAAAAGTTTTAATATATGTACTTCATTATCAATAATTGCTCCGTTTAATTAATCAATCAATTAATTAATTGAACATATTATTGATGATTTGATGTGCCACTTAAAATATTATATTACTCACTAATAATCTGGATTAGGACATAAAAATCTGTTGTGGATCATTAACCCATTCAATAACTAACTGTTCGTTCGTCCTAAATCAAAAGTTTCCTTTAAAAATTAGACCAAAAGGGAACTTTAGTCACACCATTAGTGTCTTACCAATTAATCCAAAAAGTTGAAAAGAATGTTACAAAAAAAATTACGTACCGTCCTTATAAACCTTTTCACATTTGGATCTTCTAGGTGAGTTGATTATTAATTACTCCATAATTAATTAAGATGATATTATAATTTTAAAATTTTATTGATTTGTGTCATGGGTTTAATTGCTTATCAACGTAAAATATTCGGATTAAATAATAAAAATAGTAGAGTATAAAATTTATCTCGATCCATTACAAGTTTAAATATTTGATTTAATTGATTCATTGACACTTACAACTAACTAAAAATATAGAGTGCCAATTAAAGTTATTGTAGGTCTTAAACTAATCTACAAATCCATCTCTCTAATTAAGATCGAAGAGGGGGAGGGGCGGGGAAGCGTTGTAATTCTTCTAAAGGTTGAAGAACATGAAAGGGCCCAATAACACCTACTCTCTATTTAAATAGTCCATCCGTCCATAAAAGATTGTCACTATTTAATTTTTTTTATTCAAATTATAGTATCCTTTGACTACGGATAATATAAAAAGTATATTTAGTTATAATATGAATGTAGTAAAATTGAGTTTATTTTAGAATATAGTTTTGAAATTTAAATTTTTTATAGCATTTAAATATTTTTAGTTATATTTAATTTGTAGTCAAAGAGTGTCATAGTTAGACCAAAAGAGTCAAACTGTTGCAAACTTTTAAGGACGGAAGGAGTAAATCGGTAAAAAAAAAATTATTTGAGCCTAATTTAACATTAAACGACCCTCTGCCCGCAGCCCCCCATATCCCACCCATGCCCCCTATAGCTCGCCGATTTGGCATTGCCAAATCGGTGATCCATGGGTGGTTCTAGAGTGGGGTGCAAGAGGAGTTTAGGATGAAGGGTTTAATTGTTTAAGGATGAGTTAGATGGGATAAGAATTATCAATTTTATTAAGGAAAGATCATAGATGTTCTTAATCATTCTAAGGTCACTTTAGCTCAAGTCAAAGACCTATTGTGTAAATATAATTAAAACACGAGTTTTGTATTAAAATTAAACTTCACATTTGTGGGGGGCTTACAGGGGGTTAGGGTGCAGGGGTGGGGGTTTAGAGGGTGGGTTAGGGGAGTAAGAACCGTCAATTTTACGAACGGAGCACCGGAGATATCCAAAAACGCAGTGATACCGCTAGTGGCACCATTTTTCGGTGTCACTAGAACCCCACCGTGGACAAATAATCACAAAACAACAATTTACGAATTTTTTATGGATTAAGCTATGTGTACCCCAATATTTATACCCCAATTTGTACCCTGCAGGTTTGCACCAATATTTTGTGTTAGTGTAAAACTAATTTTTGTAAATACACCAACATTTGCGTCCGTGTAAATTTTTGTTAACGCACCAACACTTGTGCACCAACATTTGTGTCCGTGTAACTTTTTGTTAACGCACCAACACTTGTGTCGGTGTCAACCATCAAAATGTTTGTGCAAAACTGTGGTGTACAAGTGAGGTACAATTTTTGGTGTAAGCGTAGCATGGTCCATTTTTAATTTATGATTTAATAACAAAGATAAAATCACCAAATAGGAAAAAAAGAAAAGGAAGGGCTTTAAAAAGAAAGAAATGGCAGAAAAAGAAAGTAATCACAGATCTGGATACAGTCTGGCGTTTCTTGAATTCATTTTCCCCTTTCACTGAAAAAAGGTTTGAAACACAAAAACAAAAAGGCACACATCATTCACAGAGTCTTCACGGAAGACTTTTTTTTATTTCCAGAGATCTTTTAGAAAAGAGAAGAGTGTGAAAGAGAGTCAACCCCCAAAACCTTTTCCCTGAGCTTTTTTGGTTTCATGTATATGTAAGGCTTCGATGTGTCCACATGTTATCCCTTCCCCCATATCTTCTTCTTCTTCTTCCTTCTTCAACCTTTTTCTTTCTTTCTGCATTTCTTCCCCATTTTTTTAATGGATTGATGAGTAAAGAGAGCTCGATTTTTACAGTGAGGAGAGAAATTTACAGAAATTAAAGAAAAGTTTGAGAGGTAGCTGAGACATTTGGATTTGTCCTCGTGTCTCCTCTCCCTCTCTATATTTTTCTCCCCATTAATTCTTTTTTTTTCTTCCAGAGATTATATTATTTTGAAGAGAGGAAAAAGAAAGATTTCTTTTTCATAAAGTAGAGAGATAAAGATTTGATCTTTGAGCGGAAATTATTAATTTACTCACTCGAAGAGTCAAAGGGTAAACGAAAAAGAGAGAGATATAGAGGTTGTTTTGATGAATTTCGGAGGGTTCCTTGATAATAGCTTCGCCGGTGGGTTCGGCGGCGGCGGCGGTGGCGGAGGGTCTTTGGACGGTGGCCCGATGGGTCATTCTTGCCTTGTACCTCAGTCTCTTGCAAAGTCCATGTTCAACACCTCTGGCCTCTCTCTCGGCCTTGTACATCTTCTCTCTCCCTTTTTCTCTCTCTATCACTAGAATTAACGAAATGGAGATGAAAAAGTGGGCTAAAGATTGTGTTTTTTTTGTGGGTGTGGGTTTTGGGCAGCAAACGGAAATCGAGGGTCAAGGAGAGGTGTCGAGGATTGGGGAGAGCAACAATGACGGCGGAAGCGCCGGCGCCGGCGGTCACAACAGTCTTGGGAGAAGAAGCAGAGAAGAAGAGCCGGAGAGCAGATCTGGCAGTGACAACTTGGAAGGTGGCTCCGGCGACGATCAAGACGCCGCCGACGACAAGCCTCCGAGGAAAAAAAGATACCACCGACACACTCCTCAGCAAATTCAAGAACTTGAAGCGTAAAAAAAAACTCTTTTTTTGAAAAAAAAATCATTTTTTACAATCTGCATTCCACCTTAGATCTTGTTCTGATCTTACATTTCTTTATTTTTTTTCCTCAAATAAATGACAAATATGTTTCAAATTTCTAGTTTGTTCAAGGAGTGTCCTCATCCAGATGAGAAACAAAGGCTGGAGCTAAGCAAAAGGCTTTCTTTGGACATCAGGCAGGTTAAATTTTGGTTCCAAAATCGCAGAACTCAAATGAAGGTAACAATGGCGATAGTGATTCCTATAAAGATTCGATCTTTTTAAGGTTTTCTTCATGAATTTTGTAAATTTAGGTCCTACCAAGCTTCATCTTGGTGGGTTTTTGGGTTTTGGTACTGATCAAAGTGTTAAATTGGTCTGATTGGATGTAATCTTGAACCAGACTCAACTAGAACGCCACGAGAACGCGTTGCTCAGACAAGAGAACGACAAGCTGAGGGCGGAGAACATGGCGATTCGAGAGGCGTTGAGGAACCCGATTTGCAATAACTGTGGGGCCCCGGCGATGATCGGAGAAATCTCCATGGAAGAGCAACACCTTCGGATCGAAAATGTCCGACTAAAGGACGAGCTCGACCGCGTCTGTGCCCTCGCGGGGAAGTTCCTAGGCCGTCCCATTTCGTCGTTGAACTCTTCCATGGGACCCCCTCAAATGTTGCCGAGCTCCAGCCTGGAGCTCGGAGTGGGGAGCAACAACGGCTTCGGAGAGATGGGCGCGGTCCCCACCGCGCCCGACTTCGGGCCCACAATACCTCCGCCCATGTCGCAGCCGAACAGGCACGGCAACGGCGGCGGGGTGGTGGGGATCGAGAAGTCGTTGGAGCGGTCCATGTACTTGGAGCTCGCGTTGAGTGCCATGGATGAGTTGGTCAAGCTGGCTCAAGTGGATGAGCCATTGTGGGTGAGGAGCTTTGAAGAAGGGAGAATGGTCCTTAACCAAGAAGAATATGTGAAGACCTTTAGCCCTTGCATTGGGTTGAGACCTAATGGTTTTGTGTCTGAGGCTTCTAGGGAAACTGGGATGGTGATTATGGACAGTTTGGCTATTGTTGATACACTCATGGATTCTGTGAGTAAAAATGGGAACCCATTTCTTATATTTCTATTATTATATTATCATCACTATTATCATTAATTAGAGATTCATTCTTTTACTAATCTTTGTTTTGTAGGTCAAGTGGGGTGAAATGTTCCCATGTCTTGTGGCTAGAACTACAACAACAGATGTGATTTCAAATGGCATGGGTGGAACTAGGAATGGTGCACTTCATCTGGTAAATGCCCTTTTTTAGTTTTTCTTCATAAACAATGTACTATATGTTCTAGGGTATACAACAACATCAACAACAAACCGAGTAAAATCCCATACCATACTACATGATATTTCTCAAAAGATTGGCATGTTTTGAGCAATTTTTTGCAAACCGGGATATCTTTGCCTAATACACCGTGAACCGTGGGAATGGTTCTTGGACCGTTTCCGCCTATTCAATACGTGGTTCTAAAAATCTCGGCCTAGCTTTGCTCGGGTCCCCACCCTATGACTCGGGGCACTCCTATCCCGGAGTATATTTCTATTTTGCCCCCACCCCCCCCAAGGAACCGTCTACCCCTCCTTACATTGAGTACGAAGTAAGGGTAAGGTCTGTGTACACATTGTTTTTTAGGACACTAGTCCTTGTAACATGATGATGATGAACATTATTATTATATGGCAGATGCATGCGGAGCTCCAAGTATTGACGCCGTTAGTTCCGGTGAGGGAGGTGAGTTTTCTCCGGTTCTGTAAGCAGCATGCCGACGGGGTGTGGGCCGTGGTGGACGTGTCGATAGACACCATCCGTGAAACTTGCAGCTCGCCGGTGTTTCCCGCCTGCAGGAGGCTCCCTTCTGGCTGTGTTGTGCAAGATATGCCCAATGGCTACTCCAAAGTAAAAATCTCTTTTTCTTCTCTTCACACTTTTTTTTTAAAATTTTTTACAAAACTTCAGTTATTTTCTGCTGCACATTTCTTATCACCTCACATGCATTATCTTATTACCTTTTTGTTCTTATTTAATGTGTTTTGTTGATATGACTTCCCTAAATTATTTGATCAATATATATGGACCACTGGTTCAATTTCCCATCCACCTTTTGTTACAAGTTTGGTTGTATGAGAAAAATATGATTTGAAAAAGTAAAGATTTGGGTTGGAATCTTCAATGTTGGTAACACATAAACAATGAATTTGCTGTATATGAAAATCCCAGTCTCTGATAATAATAACAACAATTGGCCTATCTAAATCAGCCTACCCTATTGGCTGTATTATAATCTGCCCAAATTTGTATTTATGTGGGTTTAAGGACCCCCTTTATGTCCTTATCTCATGATCAATGGACACCACTTAAGTCAACCCCCCCCCCCCCCCCCCCCCCCCCCCCCNTTTTTGTGATTTTCCTTTTTTGACCTCTCCTCTAGTTTCTTGAGCTATCTATGTCTAGCTACTCTCATTCTTTTTCCCTTTTTTTAATATTGTATATACTGGAATTTGGCTATGAACCCTTGAATAAGAATTGACATTGTTATGCATGTGGTGGGGCAGGTGACATGGGTTGAACATGCAGAATATGACGAGAGTTCAGTTCACCAGCTCTACCGTCCCATGGTCGGCGCCGGGATGGGCTTCGGCGCCCCGCGGTGGCTCGCGACTCTCCAACGACAATGCGAGTGCCTCGCCATCCTCATGTCCTCCTCCCTCCCCACTAGGGACCACACGGGTACGCAAACCTAATAACCATTGCAATTGTATCAGAATGTAAGAATCTTTCCTCAACCCACACCACGGATCATAAGCTTGAGGTTTTGGTCTAGTTAACATAGTACTCTCCGCCCTCCTAAGATGTTCCCGTTTTGACTTTTTAGGATTTTTAAGGAGAATCGAAAAAAAAGTGAAAGTTTACCAAAATACCCTTAATAAAAATGGACGGGTCATATTAAATGAGACCGTTGAAGTGTAATAAATAAAATAAGTATGATTAGTTATGATATTTTAAATGTTAAAAGGTAATGGGAAGATGAATGAGGAATAGATAAAAAAGGGCTAAATTAACTATCCCTTTGAGGCTTACAAGAACCATATATATATATAAGCTAAGTTTGAGCTTTTTGGTTGAGTTTGTTTCTTAGTGCAATTTTTTTCCCTGCAATATGATACAGGGATCACTCCGAGCGGGCGGAGGAGCATGCTGAAGCTAGCGCAACGGATGACGAATAACTTTTGCGCGGGTGTGTGCGCGTCCACGGTCCACAAGTGGAAGAAGCTTTGCGCGGGGAACGTGGACGAAGACGTTAGGGTTATGACGAGGAAGAGCATGGACGACCCCGGGGAGCCGCACGGTATCGTTCTGAGCGCCGCGACCTCGGTGTGGCTCCCGATATCCCCGGGACGCCTCTTCAATTTCCTGCGCGACGAGCGGATGAGGAGCGAGTGGGACATCCTCTCCAATGGCGGTCCCATGCAGGAGATGGCCCACATTGCCAAGGGACAAGATCACGGCAACTCCGTCTCCCTCCTCCGTGCCGGTGTATATATTCTTTATCTCCCTCTCTATTTTTCTTATTATTATTACATAAATATTTGCCACATTTGTATTCTCGAGGCAAAATATCAAACTTTTTCAATTCATTTTATTTACATATTGGTATAGAAATAAAAAATAAAATTTACTTATCAAAAAACTACATGAAAAGTTCTTCGAAATAAGATGTGTCAAGAATATTTTATTTTATCAAATAAACATTGAAAACTTAGAAATAAACAAAAGTTCCCGCGACTGCTGAAAAAGCAAATGTTGTGAATATTTTGGAATGGAGGGAGTATATAAAAAATTAAAAATTAATTTTATTATATTAACAAGCAATGTTCCCTAAAAAAAAATATCTAAATTGATATTAACATTAAGTTTTCTGAGTATGAGTTTATCCTCTATTTTGTTTCTCATTTTCTTGGAATTATTTTTTTTACAAAAATAAAATTAATTGTTCCCATAATTTTTTTGCAGGCAATAAACTCGAACCAGAGTAGCATGTTGATACTCCAAGAAACATGCATAGACTCTTCCGGGTCGCTCGTCGTCTACGCTCCGGTCGACATTCCGGCGATGCATGTGGTGATGAACGGCGGAGATTCTGCCTACGTGGCATTGCTGCCGTCGGGATTCGCCATCGTCCCGGACGGGCCCGGCGGCCGTGGTGGTTACCCGGAGTCCGCCGCTGCGAACGGTGGTTCTGACCATAGAGCCGCCGGCGGGGGGTCGCTCTTGACGGTGGCGTTTCAGATTCTGGTGAACAGCCTCCCGACGGCGAAGCTGACGGTGGAATCCGTCGAGACGGTCAACAGTCTCATTTCCTGCACCGTCCAAAAGATCAAAGCCGCCCTTCACCGGGAGTGTTGACCGGGCGGACGGGGAGGGGCCCACGTGAGTCCTCACGTGGAAATAATCCCAACCCTTTCGTCTTTTTTCCAATTTTTTTCGTCTAACTAGGGTCGTGTTTGGTTGGCATTGGTTATTAACGCGTATGATTTATTCATGTAGTGTGGTTTCTAGGGAACGAGTCAAGAACGAACCAAACAAACCCTTTGCGTGGCGGCACAGCCCCTCGCCGGCCGCCCTGCAACCGGGGTGTGGTTCGGGTATTGACTCGGAGAGCGTCCGTGTGGCTCAACATTAATTGAGTCGTTATTAATTAATTGATAAGTGTGAGGGGAAGAGTGTCTTTAAATTGGTCTTTTTCTAATTAAATTTCTGTAACTTCTCTTGGATGTATTTGGAAAAAACTATATATATGGAATGATAATTGTTATAAATCTGTATTGATTATTCCATGTAATTTAATGTACCTTTATTTACTAAAATATTTTATAAAACAACATTATACCCTTTTCAATCCATTTATTCTGTATTATGGAGTAGTCTTCTATCCCATTTAAAGTTGTTTGTAATGTGATGGTTTACAATGTTTGATTAAAATTGTTTTTTATGTTAATTTATTTTAAAATTGAGGTGAATTTTAAAAATACTCTCTTTGTCTGAATTTAATTAATATTCATGTTTCTTTTTTTCTTTGTCCGGATTTGATATTCTCATTTCTTATATAGATGTGTGTTAAAAATCTCTACCTATCCACCAACTTTTACTTTTAAATGTTTTGGATAAATAAATCCTATATTCAACTTTCTTTATATTGAGAATTTTTTTTAACTAAACACATCCTTTGACTTTAAGATTATCAAAGTTGTTTTACAACATTAAAAATTTATTCGAAAAGCTAAAATTGTTTAGAAAAAAGTTTTCAAAACAATTAATGTGGTAGTGTTGTACGGATAGAAAAAACGGATATTTTCTTGTTGGGAAGACGGGTAATGAATGAGGGAAGAAGATTAGGTAAGACTTGAGAGAGAATCTCTCCCTAATTTGATTACAAATTTAGAGTTTTTTGTTTTTTGAATTTATTTTATTTATAAATTGAATAAGAATAAAAAATTAAATATTAAAAAATCATGTTAAAAATTTTACAAAATGAAATGTGACAAGAATATTTTATTTTATCAAATATTTAAATAAATAAAAGTTATCGAGAGAAAAAAAATTGTAATATAATTCGTGAAGGAGGGAATATAAGTAAGTATATATGGGGTTCCATTGGGGCAGTTGAGACTTAAGAGAGGTGTGTGTGTGTGTGTGTGTGAGGAGAGTGCATTTAATGATTGAGAGAACGGAGCAGATGCTGTTTGGACTAAACGTCCCCCATGCATTTAATGCCTTTTTTATGTTATGAATAAATTTGATCACTTTGATTTTATAAAACTGATATAATTTGATAATAATTGACATAATTAAATAACGAAAGATACATTCCTATATATGGGAATTACAAGAGAGTAAGGAATGTAATCAATAATCTATATTATTTCTCATTATGTTAGACAATAGTTACTCCGTATAATATTACTTATGGTAGTATTGGTTATAACAGCGTTTGATTATTAATCAACTTTCTATTTTTATTCATGGTAGATGTAGTACTTTAGTGAGTTTTCATTCTTTATTTTTAGTTGTGCTAGGAGTCCATCTTATAAATATCAAATTATCATAAAGGAACTGTTATAATTTATTTTAAAAAAATAGAAATATTCTAAATCACATGTTTTTTAAAAGATAAAAAAATGAATGTTTGATAAGAAAAAAAGAGAAAATAATATCGCCCCCTATTAGAAGGCGATATAAAAAATCACTTTAAATAGAAATAAAACATAGAGAAAATACCAAAATATGAGTACTATATTTTTATTTTCAAAATAAAAATTTGCACTGTGATAATATAGCATTGTATATAAACATTTTACAATATTTTTTTATATTATTTATTGACATGATTGACATTGTAAATGCATTTTAACTTCTACTTTATGAATAAAAACATGCAACTTTTATCTTGATATACTCGGTAGTAAATACTTATGTGACAGGAGTTGGAAGAGGACGTAAAAGCCCCTCATTGTAAATGCTCGAACAACGAGTGTTGTCCGTGAAAACGTTTTTGTATGTATCCCATAATGTAACACAAATATTGGATAGTTTTTTTGTTCACAAATGCTGCACCGTTGCACTACAAATACTGTCGGTTTTATACAACAACAAAAATATCGCTCGTACGTTGACCATCTGTGTATCTTTATTTCATTTTATATTACCGCGCCTCATAATAATAATAATAATAATAATAATAATAATAATAATAATAATAATAAAAATGAGTGAAATTTGCACTAAATAAGACTAAAACATAAATCATTTCTCAATCTAAGACTTAAATTTTTTTATTCCCTAAATAGGATTTAATAATGTCTAGCGAGAGAAATAATGTTCAGTGATTATGAACATTTACTTGAATAATGACTAATGGATAATGACCAAAGGTCCTACATTGGGAAATAAAAACACATGGTCCTGTATTGAGAAAATCATTATATTTTAGTCATATTTAAGTAAATTAGTGAACCCAATCGGAGAAGGAAGTTTCACATTACTTTTCGCACTAGGAACTTAGAAGATGTTAAGTGATGAAGATAAGACCAACAAGATTCACATAGACTTTTTCGCATGAATTTTTTATTTACTCCGTATTTACTAAGTATTTTAAAAAAATAATTATGCGTATCTAAGTAGCAAACAAAACTACCTCCGTCTCATTTTAAATTATATGTTTAATATTCATATCGTCAAAACTCAAAATTTAATTATTCTATTTAGCTATTTTTCGTTACGTATTTGATAAAATTATATATATATATATATATATATATATATATATATATATATAGTAATGTCAATTCTTGTTTTGTTAAATTATTTTTGTAATTTTTAAATTCTAAATTTTTATTTCTAAATTTCAATTCAATTTTCAAAAGAATTGATTTGAAATAGAACAACTTTAGTCAAACGACATAAATACTTGTTTAGCTTGATGAAAATGGCTCCAAGGAAGAATTGTTCCTTTCTTACGGAGTATATACTTTCATTAATTATTAATAAAATAAAATAATTATGTCACATTTTAATTTGTGAAACTTTTGATGTAGTTTATAGAAACAAAGCATAAATTTATTTTAAATTTCATACTAAATTTTCCAATAATTGAAATGATAATAGGTCCAAATAAAAAAAATCCTTAAACAAAGAGAACTTAACTTAAGAACATGGAGTATTTCCCGTGCACGAATTTATTTTGTGTATACACTTGGAATAACTACCTCCGTTTGTTTCTGCCAGGTTAAATTTTCTTAGTCAACGTTTAAACATTTTTACGGAGATGTTATTCATTTTGCTGTGATAATTTTAACTAAATTCTGAATAATTTTATAGATCACTCTTATAAAATTTCATTTTGCTGGATGACATATAATAAGGGCTTGTTTGGCAATAACTTTAGCGATTAGCGTTAGCGTTTTGGATAAAAATTTAACGGTACAGATTACTTTGAATACGCTGCCCGTAGATAGCCTTTTCAAAACGCTAATCGCTAAAGCTATTCTCAAACAGACCCTAAGTGGAGTAATAAAAAAAGTAGTGTAAGATTAGCCTTTCTTATTCTTAAATTAGGTTACTGGAATTTGGAGTTTATATAAAGTTAAAGAACAGGGTCTGGATCTTATTGATAAAGTAAATTTAATTGTAACTACACACTTAGCTTAGTTGGTCCTAAAGAAATGGTAATAGTTGCCAATTAGGAAATCATATCTCTTCGTCTCAACTTCAACCACCTATTTCGATTTACGATGTTTGACTACATTTATTTTCTATACAATTTATTTGAGAATTGGAGTGGAATCAAAAAATCAAAAATTATATGAAACAAGAAATGACATGATTATAGTATTTTATCAAATATAGATAAGAAAAGTGAATGAAATTTAATTCTGTAAATAATAAAAAGATAATTACGTAGTAAATATGAGACAGAGAGTTTGATGGGGAAATATCTACTGCATTATAAACTCGTGGCACTCTCATGAATGGTTTCAACATTGTTCAATAAAAACAAAAAATTAAAAACCTGGTCAAATGACTAAATTTCAAACAACATACACTCTTCATAAACGTGTGAACACAAGAAATTTATCAATTCAAGACTTTCATCATACTTGTATGAATTTTAATCATCAATTAAATATAAAAAATTAAATTTTTCGACAACGCTCATGGATGTCATAATATGACACTTGGACCATGTGAGGGCCCTACGCTACTCTGTTCGACCCCAAACTGATTCCTACCATCTAAGCTCCTGCAATCTCCCTCCCGACAAGGGGGCAAGGGGTTAAAGGGCTAAGAATCATTTTGAGGTCAAACGGAACATGAAAAGCTCCAAAATGGCCCTTTGTGTCAAAATAACCCCACTCATCAATTTGTGTAACTTGGCTGGAGAAAGTCAAACTAGACATATAAAGCCATCCATTGAAGATCACATTGACAAATGTCCTATCTATTGTAGTGGAAACCTAACCTCACACACATTTTCTTTTCTTCCTTTTTTTCTCGAAAACAAAGACTAGGCTAAGATCCGTCTCTCTCAATGTATAGATTTCCTTGCGTGCTCGGGAATAAGACGGTTTTGCAGTTCGGGAGGCACGCCAGCTAGCTCTGCACGGTGTGAAGCATAGTGAAAAAATATACCAAAAAAACCAAATGGAAGTAGCTACAGAATGACGAGAACAACGTTCATCACCTTGAGTAAAGTTAAAGAGGGGAGGCACGGGTTTCCCGTTTGGTAAGGACACGTTTGGCTCCCTCAAGGCATCAAAGAACGGGTGTGCACACGCCTCCAGCTGTTAGGGGTTATTTGGAGCCAAATAAGCAAGTGAAATAAGAAGAATAAGTCCAAAAAAACGACTACCAAATGAGGCCATAATTTTCGCTTACAGCTGTACAACGCAGAGATGGCGAGTATTGGAGCAGTCTCAAGATTAAATCCATTGCCTCGGTCGGCATCCTTTTATGAAAGACCTGAAAAACAAATAAACCCATTGAACAATGAAGACTTACATTTTTTATTTTTATTTTTCCTTTCCAAAATCCAAAGATTGCTAGTTGTTGTAACAAACCTTGTGAAAGGGATGAGCTTTGATATGGGGAAACTTGAACTCTGTATAGTTTGGATTCATCAACTTGATCTCCTCCCTAGTCGGCGTCCCCAAAATCTGATGAACAAAAATGTAAATAAATAAAGAGATTTTGGCAAAAATAAAATAAAAAAAATCACAAGTTTCATTGGAGAAACTTGATAGCAAACCTTGATGATTTCGACTAGCTGATCAATACTGCTTTCCCCTGGAAATAGAGGCTGCATATTAAAAGAAGTATATTTGTTAGTACTAAAAAAATACGTTATTCATGGAATCCAACGTGTCAGTGAACCATCTCAACCAAAAGCTCAAGCTTTCCCAGAAGATTTGTTTTTGCTCGAACCATACACACAGACATTAATTTTTAAACTGGGTGGGGGTAAGGTTTGAATTCGTGACCTCTGGTTCGAATGAAAGCCCTCAAAGAACCAACTCAACCAAAAGATCAAATTTTTGGTTGTAGGCCAAGGTTTTATACTCTAACAAGAGTGAGCATAAGTGTGGTAATCACCCGTCCGAGAAGTAGCTCAGCCATGACGCAACCAACAGACCACAAGTCTATAGCGGTCGTGTACTCGGTAGCCCCAAAGATCAGTTCGGGAGCTCTGTAGTAACGTGAACAGATGTATGATATATTCGGCTCACCGCGGGCCTAACACCAAATAAAATAAAGATTAATATTTTTCAAAAAAAACAACAATAACAACCCAGTAAAGTCCCACAAGTGGTGCTCAAGAAAATATAAAATGAAAAAAACGATCATTTTCCAAGTAAATATCAATAATATCACATACCAACTTCTTTGCACTCCCAAAATCACAAAGCTTTATCGTATGACTATGGGGATTAACCTGCAAAAAATACAGAAAAAGACACAGCCTTTAATTTATATCCAATCACAGGCTTTCCAAAAGAAAGTTGGAGTAATCCCATATCAGCTAAATATGAATAGAACCTCAACTCTTTCGGGTTAGTTGGGCCAAAGATTTATTCTTGACATGAAAAAAGTAAACTTTGGATAAAAGGGATCAAGAAAATAATCTCACCAATATATTCTGGGGTTTAATATCACGGTGACACACACCGACTACACTGTGAATATAATTTAGAGCTCGACAAATCTGTAAAATAGAAGAAATACACATGATTGAAGTGCAACACTTTAAAAAAATATACTCCATCTGTTCCACAAGCACAAAAAGAGAGGTGTCATGTTGCAAAATGTAGTTTCGTAGAAGAAAAAATATCTTTTTTTTAACAAAAGGAACTCAGTTTTCATTGAAACTCATACTCCCTCCGTCCCATAAAGATAGGGACATTTTGACTAAAGTGGGAAATTAAGGGAAGGATAATTTTGTGTTGACTTTCCAAAAATACCCTTGATGTGATGGGTAAAAGTAGGATGTGATGTGTAGATTATTAGGAAAAAGGTATGATGTGATAGGTAGGATTTGAAAAAGTAAGTGGTAAAAGTGGTTTTTTAATAGAAATGGGAATGAGATTGTGGGACGCAATTTTTTTGAAACGGGAAGGACTTTATGGGCCAAAGGGAGTATAATTTTCCAACAAAAAGTGTTTCAAACAAGTTAAATTTACTTTATAAATTAATAATGTAAAAATATACTCATGTAGGATTGGGATAGGATGTGATAATTTACAAGAGTAGTAAAAATATAAACTTTGTACCTGGTACGCGTACAATTGAACGTATATGATGGGCAAATGCTGGTTAGTTCTGGTATAGTGCCTACAAACTCGGTAAATAGTTTCGGGCACATACTCCAGCACCAGGTTAAGGTACGTCTCGTTCTTCTCGGTGGTCGAGTAGAAAAAATGCCTCAGCTTAACCACATTTGGGTGATCGACTAAGCGCATAATTTGGAGTTCCCTGTTCTTGTATCTCCGGTCTTGAAGCACCTTCTTTATTGCAACAGCATCCCCAGTTTCAAGGCTTTTTGCCTATCATGTTTAGCAAAATGAGGATTAGAATACGAAAATAATTACATTATTTTATAGAACATTTTTTTGTGTTGCTATATCCTAATTTACCTGAAAGACAACTCCGAACGAGCCACTCCCAACGACACGTTCTGCCATGTAGGACAATGTCTGGAAACACAAAATCAATAAGAAAATTATGATGCTATAATAATCCAAGGGAGTAGAAACAACATTATGTAAAATAGGAAATCTCAAGAATGTCAAAACTATGGGAGTTCAATTCACCTGTTTCTGCTGCCCACTTTGGCCTCCCACGCTTGTTACAATTATCTGACCCACTTCTGTTCCGTTACCACTAACAACAACCGGCGTCTCCATATCCTGTCATGGAATACGAAAAATATGGGTTAATAAAGCCTTGAGTTGGATTTGATTCAAACTTTTAGTGACCTCTACCCAATTTTGAATTCTATCATTCAACGAAACAAAATCTTTTAACCTTTAAGTTGGACTTGTGATGATCAATTTTGTCGTCTCCAATTTTCAATTCGAGCATTTTCTTGGGAAGCTCATTGTGGCCAGAATTTTCAGATTCTGTAACATTCGACACATTCACATCTGATTCGGGCTCAGCGACATGCATCCTTTCACTCTTCACCCTCGTAATGGTATATTCCCCTCCCTAGGAAAGTCCATTCAAGTAAAACAGAAAAAGGGATTAGTTTTGAATAAGTTGCTTGACAGCATATTAAGAGCTGAACCGGAGTGTATGATCCTCAAGCCTAAAACCTACTCCCTCCATTCACTTCTATTCTTGAATGTAGACATGATGCATGTCTATATTCATTCAACTTTCGATTCATCACAAAAGTCATAACTGTAAGTAAAAAAAATAATGAAGGGAGCACACGATAAGTTTACATGGTGGTGATATGGAAATTTCGGATGTGGGATGCTTTAGAAATTATCAACACCTAGCCCCACACAAAGGTGCATTTGGTTTGCATTTGTGGGGGTAATTTGTTGGTTTTGGAATCACAATAAGCCTTTCTGTCTATCAAAGCCAGTCTTAGCATTCACTCTAGTCAGAATAAAGCATCTATACCCAGATTAAGATGATTGAATATTTTAAACAAGCAGTAAAGAAAACAAGACAAGAAACCACTGATTCAAGAAACATCTCATGATCTCAAGGAAAGAAAAAAAAAGAAGCAATCCATAAGCAGCAAAGATTCAATCTTTCCTCATGATTATTGAATAAACATCATTTCACAGGACAATTGACTGCTCAAAACTGTAAAGCTCTCAACCAAAGCATATATCCACCCTCAAATCTTTAAAACCACTGATTCAAGAAACATCTCATGATCTCAAGAAGAAGAAAAAAAGCAATCCATAAGCAGCAAAGATTCAATCTTTCCTCCTGATTCTCGAATAAACATCATATCAGAGGAAAATTGACAGCTCAAAACTCTAAAGCTCCCAACCAAAGCATATATCCACACTCAAATCTTTAAAACCTGTGGAACTTTTTGAAATTCTGAAAATTCAAACAAAATTCACAAACCCAAATCCCAGAAAAGCTAAAAAAAATCAATCTTTTTTGGTCAATCTGAACTGAAATGGAAGATCAAACTAAGTGCAGAAAGAATAGAGGAGATTACAGGATCAGAAACAGAAGAACGGCCAGAAGCAATGCTCTTGAGGCGGCGCATCATATTCATTTTCCAATTTCAACCAGCTAATACCCAAAATCCCAAATCTTTCTTCTCTTGAAGACTGAAAATCACAGATAATGGAGAGAGAGAGAAGAATGAGTTCTCTGTTCTCTCCCTCCGTAGCTTATAAAACTCTGTGGGGAGCAGAAGTTCCGTTCAACGATTTACAGCCTCCTTTTGGTGAAAAGAAAATTTAATTCAAAAACCAAAAAACTTAAAAAAAAAAAACCGTCGAACATATTCAATCTTGTTGCTAAAACATTTCTCTTTTCTGATCTCTCTGTCGGTCAAAAGTGGATTACCGACCAGCTTTCGGGTACGAAATGCGTTTCAATTCCGGAAAGGAAAGGGAGTATTGGACTGCGCTGATTTTGTATCTTAAAACCTTTGATTTTTCACAGAATTTGAAAATATATTTAAAATACGAAAAGTGAAATCTGCATCGAATAAAACTAAAACATAAGTCATTTTTCAATTTAGAACTTAAGCTTTTTTATTCCTTAAATATGACTTAATAATGTCATGTAAAAAATGATCGCATGTACTTAAATTTTTTTTTAGTCTCACAAAGAAATGTTGTGAATTTTGTGTTTCTTTTTTTTAAATATGCAAAATGGATCTAATATAAGTTATCTATTCACTATTCACATGATAAAATTTTATTTATTTTTTTCTTATTTTTGTTATTTATTTAATAAAATAATATAATCATGTCACCTTGTTTCACAAAACTTTTAATTTAGTTTTTCAATATATAAATTTCATTTTTTAATTTCATCTCAATTATAAAATAAAATATATTTAAAATAATTTTACTCAAACATCGTAAATCGAAAAATACGATTTAAATTGGAACAAAGAGAGTAAAACGGAAAAAAATAAAATACGGAGTAACAAATAAAATTGTTACTACTCAAGTATATAGTTGTATGCATTTAAACTCCCACTCTTTTAATCATTTAAGACTATTTACAAACAAATTTTTTTTTGTGTTTACAAATATAAGTTTGTAAACTTTTGTGACAATTCAATTTGGAATTTTAGCATTTCTCATATAATTATTGAATAGATTGCATAAAATAAGGTTTCCAATGAAAAATCTATTAATTGAAGGTTTTACAAACTATAGTAAGTATAGTTCTGTTCCACTAAAATACACGAACATTAACAAAAATTTAGATGCTTATAGCAAAGCATGAACTAAAATACTACTACCTCTGTCTCATTTTATAACGCCTGTTTCGGTTTACGATGTTTGACTGAAATTATTTTCAAACCATTTTATATGACAAATAGTATAGAATTAAAAAATAAAAATTACATATTAAAAAACTACATCAAAAGATCTACAAAACTAGTAGTGACAAGAATATTTTATTTTATCAAATTGCTAACGAAAATAGAGAAAGAAAGTAAATAAAGTTTGATTCTGTGAATAGTAAACAAGCATTATAATTTGGGACGGAGGGAGTAGTATGAACACACAAAAAGATACTCCCAAAGAAAGTCTCTTTTTTTCGAGACGATTCCCATCGGTCCAAAAGGTGGAATCGCCCACCCCAGGCGCCCCCACCCCCTTGCCCGACAGGAATGGTGGAGGATGTAAATCATGGTGACTCAGTCGGCCAAGAACGCTAGACCCGTGCCCACCGCGCACAAGGAGCCTCCTCACCCTTTATGGGATTTTTGGATAGCTCCCACACTGCTGGTTGTGGGATTCGTTCTCTGGTCATCGTTCCAAGATTTCACGTTCTTGACCAACTGAGTTACCCATGCGAGCTCGGGACGGTTCCCATGATATTACTCGGCAATGTCATGGGATGATTCGGAGGCGTTCCGGTGCCCCGTTCGTAAAATTGACGATTCTTACCCCTAACCTCCCCGGTAAACACCCCCACCCTACCCCGACCCGAACACACCCCGCACCAATATAGGAAGTGTCTATGTGCCTGTTTTTAATAATGGCATCCTAATGGATAACCTATTTTGGTGTACCCAGCATTATTGAAATATGAACCATGCTAGGGTGCCATCACATGGGTGCTACCATGAGTGCACCCATGCTTCACACAGACGATAATTGTCTGTGCGACACAGACAATTATCGTCTGTGTTTGTCTGTGTGAAACATGAGTGCACCCATGGTAGCATTCATGTGATGACACCCTAGCATTTTCCATTGAAATATACCTTAGATACAAAAAAAACAATCTTGCTAATTAAAAATATGCATCTACCAATAATCTCTACAAGAACAGGTTCCAAGCCTGAAATGGTGAAAATAATTAGAGTCCCTGAGAATGATATGGCGTTGGAAGACCTTGGAGATGAACTTCATGGCGGCATGGCAATCCCCACAGACCCTGAGGTTCTTGTACACTCTAATGGCCGCCCCTTCCGGCACGTAAAGAAGCCCGAACGCCACCGCCAGCTTCTCGCTGTGGTAAGCCAAGCTCTCCCGTCTCCCTTCGTCGTTGATGTCGTGAAGAGCACAGTTCATGTCCGGGACGTACCCCGCCTCCTCGATCGCCCTCAGGACATCCTCGACCTTCGCAAAAACCTCCCCCGCCTTCGGGTGGTCCCTGTCCCCTGACAGGAACTTGTGCACCGCCCCGTTCGTCTCGATCCAGCTGTAGCTCCGCTCCTTGCGGGCCCCGCTCGCCCGCATCCGACCCCGGACTCTGGAGGACTCGTCCCATCTCCCTGCGGCGGAGTATATGTTCGACATCATGACGTACGGGGCTGCGTCCTCCGGGTTCAGCTCGAACAGCACGGCCGCGGCCTTTTCCGCCGCGGGGACGTCTCCGTGGACCCCGCATGCGGAGAGCAGCGCCTTCCACACGGTCGCGTCGGGTCCCGCGTCGGCCGCCAGCTCCATGGCCTCTTGCGTCTTCCCGGCCCGCGCTAGAAGGTCGGTCATGCACGCGTAGTGGTTGGGCCCGGGTTTGATCCCGTAGACGGGTTCCATGGATTCAAAGTGGGACCGCCCGAGCTCGACCAGACCGGCTCGGCTGCAAGCGAAGAGGAGGCCTATGAACGCAACCACGTCCGGTTCAATCCCTTCGCATATCATGCTGTCATACAATCTCACTGATTCTTCCCCTCTCCCGTTTTGGGCATAACCGATTATTCGGGCGGTCCACGTAATCACGCTGCGGGAACGCATTGAATCGAAAACCCGGTCAGCGTCTTCGAGGGAGCCGCAGTTCGCGTACATGGCGACGAGGGTATTATCAACAGACGCTGATGTGGTGAGGCCGGATTTCATATACCTAGCGTGGATTTGTCGTCCCAAATCAAGAACTGCAATCTCTGCACAAGAACTCAAGACGCTGGAGAAGATGACCGGGTCGGGAGTGACATCAGCGGACGACATCATCTCGCGAAACAGCTTCAACGACTCTTCGTGCATGCAGTTATGAGCGTACCCGGTGACGAGAGACGTCCACGAAACCACGTCTTTGTCCATTATACCCTCGAACACTTCCCTCGCACAAACCAACTCTGCTTGTTTCGCGTACATGTCGACAAGGGCATTTGCCACCAGCCTGTACCCGTCGTACCCGGTCTTGATGACCGAACAGTGGATGCATTTTCCATTCGTCGCGTCCTTTAAAAGAGCAAGAGAGTTAATAACCGAAGGGTACGTGAAGTTGTCTGTGTCCATATCTCTAGAAACCATGTCCTTGAACAATGACAATGCCATATTGGGAAACCCATGGTTGACACACCCTAGCATCATGGCATTCCAAGAAACTATGTGATCAAAGGACATAGACTCCAACTCTTTTCTGGCACTGGACAAATCTCCACATTTGGCATACATATCCACCAACGCGCTCTGCACAAACAGATTTGAACCAAACCCGCCGCGAAGAACATTGCTGTGAACTTGAACGCCGAATTTCAGATCAGATAGTGCAGAACAAGAAGAGAGAAGGCCGGGGAACGTGTACTGGTTGGCCTTAACATTTTCTGCTCTCATCCTCCGAAAGCAGTCAATGGCTTTTGAAAAACAGGCAATCTGAGAATACCCACAGATCATTGAGGTCCAAGTGACATGATTTTTGCCAGTTGAGATTGAGTTGAAAACAGATTCGGCTTCCGCGACGCGCATACATTTCACATACATTTCTACAAGACCGGTAGCTACAAAGATGTCTAGATTGAATCGAGTCTTCATTGAATATGAATGAACCTGCTCTCCTTCAAAAATCAAACGCTTGGCAGAACATATCCTGAGAATGCTGGCAAGTGTTGTCCCGGTCGGCTTCTTCCCATCTCTCTGCATCGCCCTAAACAGTTCAAAGCCTTCGTTTTCCAACCCGTGTTTCGAGTACCCGGAAAGGAGTGTGGACCAAGTGAAGGCAGACTTCTTTGGGGCCTTGTCAAACAGTTGTCTAGCCTCATCAAGCCTCCCTGCTTCTGCATATGCCGAAATCATTGCGTTCCAGGCAAACACATCCTTCTCAGGCATTTGGTCGAACACAGCGCGGGCATCATCTACGGAGCCAGGTTTAGACAACGCACCCAAGGTTCCATTTTTATCAGGAAAAGACAATTTCCGAGGGACTCTTGGAGTCGAATTCGCAAGAGTTTGGAGTTTCCGCCATGGCTGACTGGGCTTATGCACTATGTCAAAACACTGCAGCTTAATTTTGCTCATGGCGTCAACAGAATTTGATATTAGAAACCATTCTTGGCTCCAAATTTAATGGGCGAAACAAGTTTTCTTGTCTAATCTAGGAATTCCGAGTAAGCGAAAAATCGGGAAAGATGAAAGAAACGATTAAAATCATACTGGAAATCGACGGGTTTAGACTTTAGACCCATCCATACCCGGCCCGTATTATCGGATTTAAGAAGAAATCATGCTTCTACCAATTTGAAAATTGGAGAGCTATGCAAAAAATGAAAAAACGTGAAAAAGGAAATGAGAAATGAAGACCTCAAGTTCTCACACCAATCAAAAAATCTCCCTCAACGGAAAATAATAGAGAAATTTGCAAACATAATTGACTTTCTTAATATAGAACCATATGTTTTTTTTCCAATGTAGGATTTTTGGTCAACTAAATGTCCATCATTACTGAACATTATTCCTCATATTAGGTCATTATTAAGTCCTATTTAGGGAATAAAAAAACTTAAGT